AAGGAGACAAACTTTGGTTTGAAGTGTTGGGTTTTCAAGAAGGGGTTTAGGTTGGACTGCATGTTCTGTGAAAAGGAAGGGATGAAGGGAACCAATAACTTGAATGACATGTTAGATATGGCTCAACCCTGTATTGACCAAGCCATCAAAGAAAGCCACAAATTTACTCTTCATATAGGTTTCTGCCTGGGACAAGTCGTGCGAGTTGTAACATAAGAAACAATGTCCACCAAAAAATGACTATGATGCCATACCTTATAGAATTTACCCAAACATCAAAAGGCAACTCAAAATCTATGTTGCATATTCTAGCAAGAGCCACCTTGATAAAGGGCGTGACTAGGTAGTACCAGTCCTTATAGTTCTTCACATTCTTGGAGAAAATATCGAACATCTAGTTATTCTACCTAAGAAAATCAAACATTTACCCCGTTCTGAATCAATAAAGTTGTGTTGGACTTTAAAGAGATGCAAAAATAATGTCAAGGTCAACGTGTTCTTCTCATACTTGCACCAATACTATAATACTTTGGTGTAAGACCAACTCACTGGGTGCAATTATGAAGGAGCTATTGTCATATGATTTTGAACGCCTAACTAAAATTCATTGAGAGGAAGTGGAAACATAGAAATGAAAACACACATTTGTGGATAGGGATGACACATCCATCATACTTGTTAAATATCCTCTTATTCCCCTTGCATGGAAGCACCTTTCCCAATCTGAGGAATGACCCACCTCAATAAAGGCGTGATCTAGATGACTTTTACTGGTGAAGGAAGAGATGATACCCAATGTCTTTTGATCTACCACACGCCTGATTTGTCTTTTATTGTGTCCTGGACCCTTAGATGAAAGTTATCCATTTAAAAGTCCTGCCAAAATGTAAATTGAAATGATCCTAAGTAAAATAACGGAGCTGATAAAATTAAGTTTCACATCCCTGTCAAAATCCATTTATAGAAAAGGATTTTGTAAAGGTCATAAACCATAACATCTTTCCATAATATATATCACCACTCAATGCCTTACCATTGATGGCGAGTTTCTCCTTCAAAATTCCCTCCTATAGAAGTCATAGCAAATCAAACAAATGTAGAAGGAGAGTAAGGTTTAGAGATGTTACCTTGAAATAAATGAAATCGAAAGCTTAGTCGTTGAACACTCCTCTAGAAGAGGTGAAGCAAATGGTTTAAAGCAATAAGTAGCTGAATAATGTTAACAAGTATGAAAGAAGTTGCAAAAGCAAAAGAAGAATTCTCAAGATCCACGAGCAACAAAAGGCAGATGGTAAGTCTTGGATTCTCCATATATTTTACAACAAAGGCAACCACACAATCCACGATAATAATTATTAAGAAGTGTGAACCGTGTAACACCCCAAATTTTAATTGGAATATTTTAATTAATTGATTTAATTGAGAATATTCAATTTCGGTGTTTTTCGGTGGCTTTGTGAATTATTGAGGAATTATGCTTTGTGGAGTATTTATTTTGGAATAATAGTATGTAATGTGGTTTATTAATATTATTATGAATTAAAATAAATATAAGAGGAATAAGGGTAATTTGGGCATTTGGAGGAGTTACTAAGGGTAACGAGGAAAAAGCCCAATTTGTGAGACCCAAGACTAGGTTGGCAAAATTGAGTTCTGAAGGGAAATTAGAATTCATTTGTATTAACCGTGAAAGTTTGGTGGCCAGAGCTCTGAAGGAAAGGTTGGAGGCAGAAGATCCCAAAGTTAATTGTGAAAGCTGCAAATTCGACTAAGGTATGAGGAGTATCGCTGTTCATGATTTTCTATGTATGCCTTTAGATGTGTTTATGGTTGGTTTATGATTTAAGGTATTTTGGGGTTTATTTGGGAGAATTAGGGAAATTGCATGTACGACTCTGAGATTATGGCTAGTGGTATGTAACACTGAATATTGATATGAGAAAGGGAAACCATAGGCCTTCGTGGCCAAAACCTTGGATTGTTATAGGTTTGACCCTGTAGGAATAGGAATGTTCAAATGAGAGTAGCTCTGATGCACTCAGAGCAATTGCAGGGAAATAGTGATTTAGGAAGTGCAAATGTTGTCGGGTTAGCCTAACAAACCATAGATTTTGTGTCGTTATCGTCATATGACCTTAGGGATGATTTAGGGATGTTTTGGGGGCATGAGGTTGTGAACCATATGAGTTTTTGGGTAGAAATCAGTTCTGGTCGTAGCAAATTTTTGCTGACATCGCACTGTTCGCCTAGCGAGCATGCCAGTGAAGACTCGCCACATACTCGCCTAGCGAGCATGCTAGCGAAGACTCGCTATCGAATCAACTAGCGAGCAAGCCAGCGAACATAGTAGAGTTCGCGAAATTTGATTGTTTTGCAGCGATGTCTTGATGTTTGATTCTGAGATTTCTGAGATGAGTTAACATGAGTATGACAGTGAGGAATTATGTGATTGATAGGCGATAGTGTGAGGATTATCGCGAGTATAATTTGAGGAATTAACATGGGATAATATGGGGTAGTATTATGAATTAATATGTGATAATATGATGGGCTAATATGAGGATGACTATGAGCTAATATGTGATTTGTATGTGAGTATACGACGATTTACATGATGTGTGATGCTGATGATTATTATGATGAATTATGTGATAACATGGGAATGATGATTTATGTGATGATGATGATTGTTATGATGAATTATGTGATAACATGAGATATGACGATTTATGTGATGATGATGATTGTTATGATGAATTATGTGATAACATGAGATATGATGATTTATGTGATAATGATGACTATGTTGATGAGTTATGGCGTATGATGAATGATGATGCACCATATGTTGTTATTATGAGGATTATTGTGACGTGTGTATCATGCATTCATATGCATCCGGACTTCAGTTCAGGACCTCGATTACTTTGGCTTCAATCCCACTGTGCGGATGTGAAGTATTTTGATGTGCTTCGGTTCTCTAGTAGAATCGATCCTATTGATGGGGATCTATGGAGGGTTGATGGCCCAATGTCCATCGCACTGAGATGATTGGTACCACATGCATTGAGTTGTGTCCCATTGCATTTATGAGTCTTTTTGTATGAATTGTGACATTGTGGCTTTCGAGGCAAATTTGAGGAGATAAATGTGTTGAATATAATTACTATGTCGTTTATGCATTAATTGTTATACATTGATTATTATGAATTGCTTTACTCACTCTGCCTGTTTGAATGTTACCTCTACGTGGGTAACATGCAGATGAGCAAGTTTAGCTGTGGACGCCGTCGATGAGTCATTTTTGAAGTTTTGAGTTATTAGCCGATTTAGTTGCTTAGAGGGTCTTGCTCTGATATGTAACATCGAGTTGGATTCTTTGAGTTGACTTTCTATCAGTGGATTATTTTACTTATTTTCCCTTTTGAGGAGAAACCTTGATTTATGATTTGAGTTCCGCTGTTTTATGTTGTTTGATGTGCTTTGAGAAATCTTACTTTAGATTGGTTAGAATACTCGAATACTCTAGTACAAGAAGACCTCATTGTTGCTAGGCATATGACCATGTGTTGAGGCCCCCCTACTAAACATTATTAGTCACATGAAAAATATTTAATGTGCTTATTCCAAATGTTATTGATGTCCTATCAAATCTCTTCCATTTCCTTCTATCGTAAGTCAGATTAAAAACATTAAAGCAATCTAAATTAAAGAAAGACATTCATACATCACGTGTACAATCTAGCGAATTATTTACGATAGAAAATCAAATTGCAAAAAAAATAAAATATGAATTGACTGTCATTAAAGTCAGATTATGAGAACAATGAATGAACTTAATCGCCAACACAATAACAAATTCATTAACTAACAACTTACACACAAATTGTGGTAAATAATTAAGGTCATTTCTAGCCTAACAGTATGCAATCAACCACAATCGCCTGAAACATATTTTAATACGCAGAGGTAGTAGTCTCGAACAAGAGTAAGAATTCACAAATCACTTCCAAACCGAACAACCAAAAATTCTTTGACGCATACAAACATCATCTTAAAACTTGCAAATCTCAATAAATCTTGAAGCAAATAGAGATTCAAAAATAAAAAAAATCAACACTCAAGTATTAAGAAGATGAGACTTAACTACAACAAAAATCGGTGTCGGAGAAAAAGATACACACCTACAATTAAGTTGTATCACGCAACCATCGTCAACGAACACCTCCTTCGTCCACAAACCAAAATCACAAAATAGTTAAAAAGGAAAAATCAACACAACTTGAGTTATGAAGAAATCAATTTCTAATTTGTCTAGATGGATCAACAAACAACCAGAACAACCTACACAATATAATTCTTTTCCTTAAAAAAAACACAATCTAAATATAAATATAAACAAACAAAATAATAAAATCATCTCAAGGGAGAGTTGTGAAAAAATAGAACACATAGTAAGATCGATGATGCAACAACATTGGGTGGAGCAAAAGCTGAGCAGCCAGAATGGCGCCAACGTGAATAAAACATAATGTGTATGAATTTTAAAATATTATTATAGGGACCACGTTACACATGCAAATGAGTTGCCATTGTCCATTCAATAATTCCCTTTTTTTCAATTCAATTAACATAATTTAAAATTACATTTGATCAAAAGTTTAAATAAACCTAAAGTAAAAAGCCTTTTAAATAAATTAGTAGAAGTTTTTTTTAACCTAAATATATATAAGTCGAGGTAATAATGACTTATTTGGACTTTCCATCCTTACCGACGTTACCGTCCGTTTCCTCTCTCTAAATCCCAATTTTTTTCTCTATATCGCCGGCCACAAAACAAGACCCAAAAAGTTAATAATAAAAAATTGATTGAATAATTAGATTAGAATAGATTAGATTCCTTTTGTTTCTTCTTCTCTTCCCTTTCTTTCTGTTTATTTTTGTTCATTATTGATAAAAAAAAGATTAAAGGCTGTATTAAATCATAATTCACCGATTCGATGGTGGCCAGAGGCACGCCGAAGGAAGCGGTTATGGCCGTGGTCGCCTCCCTTGACTTCACCGAGACATCTAACTGGTGGAGAGATATCAACGATTCTCCTCTCTGGCAGGACCGTACCTTCCATCTCCTTGCCGTCCTCTACGGAATCGTAGCCGCCATCGCTCTGGTATATTCTCCGATTTTCGTTAGGGTTTTCTTTTCTCTGGATCAAAATATTTTTTATTTTTATTTTTTAATTTCGTTTTTTTGTTGTTGTTATTTTTGTGATTTTAGGTTCAACTTGTTCGAATACAATTGAGAGTTCCGGAATATGGATGGACGACACAGAAGGTCTTTCACTTTCTCAATTTTTTCGTCAATGGAGGTTTGTATTATTCAAATCATTTTCTTCTTCTTTTTTTTTGAATTTTTTGCTTTGATTTTTTAATGAATTTTGTTGTTCAATTGTGGTTTTTGCAGTTAGATGTTTAGTTTTCGTTTTCCGTCGAGATGTGCAGAAGTTACAGCCAGAGGTAGGAATATCTCATTTATGCTAATTATTCTTATATTTTTTCTATTAATATGTATGATAAATTTCAAAATCACAAAGGATTTAATTCTAATGGTTAAACATTGTGTGTGTAGATTGTCCAACATATGTTACTTGACATGCCCAGTCTTGCATTCTTTACCACATATGCACTTTTGGTTCTCTTCTGGGCTGAGATTTATTATCAGGCAAGTTTACTTTTTTTTGTGCAAGTACTATTTACATTTCAATTTGTATTGTTAATTTGTTAATCTGTGGTCTCATTTTCTGTGATCTTATTTTGCAGGCACGAGCTGTATCTACCGATGGTCTGAGACCAAGTTTCTACACGATTAATGCTGTGGTTTATGTTATTCAGGTGAAAAATCTTGCCTGTGATTGCGCTTGTGGTCAACATAGTCGGTTTTACTTGTTAGGCATGGATGTGTACAACCTATTTACATTTTCATCTTGTATTCCTTACTTATACAGTAACACTTACAGTATGTTCAAGTCCTTCGTTATTGTTGTTCACATAGCTCTTCTGTACATGGTTGTCAAGATCTCGATCTAGATCTTAAAATCTCAAGAGTTTACAATCTCACTCTCCCCCGATGATCCCAATCTTAAGTAGAATCTTGTGAATTGTGAAAAAATCATCAAATCATTGATTTTGTGCAATTTTTGCCAGTTTTAACCATGATCGGCCATTTTCTGGCCACCACCATTAAAAGGTGAGAAGAATGACAAGATGTAGAGGCACAACAATTACTGTTCGTGGGGTTTGTTTCATTTAGATTTAGGGTTTAAAGAATAAACATCTTACTTGTACGGTTTGTTTTGATCTTGATCAGTGTTATCAAATTGCCCTGCCATGGCCGCTATGGCGGATTTACATGGCGGTTTTTGGGCTCGCCGCTATTGTGGGTTTTTCCGCCATAATCCGCAATAACGGCGCCGCGAAGCGGCCGGTATGGCGGGATTTAGCCTCTCCGCCATGGACCGTCATCCGCCTTCAACAACATTGATCTTGATTTATTTGGGTTGACTAACCTACTCCACCTCAAACAGGCTAAATCATGTAGACTTCTTTAGATTTGCAGCACTGTATTCTCTGGCAATCTTATTTTTATTGCTTTGATGACATGTAATTCCCGAACATTTACCAAGCATTGTTAGGTTTAGTTGTCTGGTAATTTCCCATTGAGTTTGCTTGTCACTCTGCAACCACAGATCATGCTTAAAGTATTTCTCTATTGAATCCACCTATCTTAAACTCTTGAAATTTCCAATTTTTTGATTATTACTGTATTGGGACTGATTCACATTCCTATAATATACTCTTCTTAGAATTAGAGTATAGAGTTTGACCTAACTCATCCCTACAAAACCGGCTTATAAGGTGAGAATTACCCCCACTTATAAACGTATGTTCAGGCCACATATTGTCCTGTGTATGACTCTTAACAACGGTTACTTTGACTTCGTCAAAATCCCTTTGTTTCAAAAGCTTCTCGACGTAAAAAAGAGTCTTCATCTTAATCATTGGTCTCTATACTTAAAGTATTTCTCTATTGAGTCCACCTATCTTGAACAACTATGATAATTTCCAATTTTTGACTCACTGTATCGGGACAGACTTGCATTCCTTAGAATATATTCTGCTTGTTTTACTCTTAACTTTGTCAAAATCCCTTTGTTTCAAAAGCTTCTTTTCACTCACTACTCTCCATGACTCATTTTCTTAGTATTTTATCACTGATATATCCCAAAAACCAGAGGTGTTTTCATCATCTACAAAATATATGCGTTTGAGGGAAAAAGATATGGACGCAGTCTACTGTTAGAAGACATGCTTGTTTTTCACTTGCTCTAAATATTACAGTATGTACATTGTTTTTCTGTATTAACTAACCCAACACAAAGATTGTTAGCACCTAGCGGGATTTAAACCTGAGACCTTGAGAGGAGCATACTCTCAGGACCCAAACTTTCACCAACAAGCCAACCCCCGGGTTACACATGTACAGAAATGAAATCCACCGAAAGGCTTAAATCACCATGCTGGAATGTTAGCAATATGTCTGGTTTGACACACCTTCCCAACCTTTTAAAATCTCATGGGTTAGAACCGAGACACCCCCACTCACCCGGTCTTTAGAACTTTGCATCTCCCAATAATGCCCAAAAACAGCATAATGCATCCTTTAGCTACAAGTACACTGCCACCAGCCAACTACCTTATGCTATTCAACCATGAGCTGTTGATCATTTAGACAACTCCATATCAACTGCGTAAAACATCAAAGGCCTGCCCTAGAGGCTTCCATGGCCTTCATATATGATATTTGTCATGATCTTCCAAGGTGTTTTTTGGTGACAGTGCAGAGAAATTACTATAGAATATTACGTACAAACAAATAAGTGGAATTTTAAAGAGTATTACGGACCTTAACACTTCAGAAGGGATACACATTGAAGGTGGATGGTACTTGCACTAATAAGAATAATGGTTTAGGGTTAGAAATAAAGAAATGGGAGAAAAACAACTATAGGCAATAAACTGAGAATATAATTGTTGGATGTATGATGTTCCAATATCTTAGCTTAGCTTTCATTTATATTTTATACTTTTAATTTGGTCAGGTGATAATACGATTATTACAAGCTCAAGTCCATTAGCCATTGAACCATCAACCTAATTTAGGAAACAATCATGAAGAATATTCTAAAACAATCTAATAACACTTTTACATAATTGCTTAAAAATTTATAAACATCTCCCTCTGCCTTTGACCTTTAGTATTTGACACTTATATGTGGTATCAGTTCTGTTATTCTATGATATCTATTCAGAATTTCAAATAACTGCTATTTTCATGTTGATTAGTTTTTGTATTGGTTGACTTCTCTTTTATTTTTAAAATTTTTTATGAACTCTTCTAATATTTTATTTAAAATGTTTCAGATTGCTTTGTGGTTGATATTATGGTGGAAACCCATCAGCATGCTGGTCATTTTGTCAAAGATATTCTTTGCAGGTTTTCTGTCTTTGTTTCTTTATTCTGTGTTGTGGCCGGGACTAACCATCAGATTTTATTGATCATAATATTAATTGAGTTTTTCGATGCATGTATGTAGGGGTCTCTTTGTTTGCGGCTCTTGGATTTCTACTCTATGGTGGGAGGTAGTTGTCTTTTAGACTTCTTAACTGCATTTATGTGTTTGGTGTACAAAATAAAATTAATGCATTCGGGTTACAAAATAACATTGACTTAGGAATTTGCCTTTTCTGAAGTTAAAAAATACAATAAAAATAATCCATATCAGCATTTATAGAAGCCATGCGAATTCTTCAATTCTATACTGCATTTCTGAAATGGTGAAATTCCAGTAGTACAAAAACATGGTCACTATATAAATGTTTTGCCAACGGTCGCCCTATTTTATAAAGCATGTACTACCATTATAATTCTTACTAGAAACTAAAATGCAACTCCAAAAGCTGTAAATGTTGATGCATATTCTTCATTCAATGTAAATAGTTCATTGTAGTTGTCATGTTCCAATAAGGCACTTCACATATGTATTTCAAATATAGAATTTTAAATGATGTATGTATACATGCCTTATGTGTATGCTTCTTTAGTGTCCTTTCATTACCGTACCCACTGTACTTTTTCTGAGCGTGGTCTATGACAGATTATTCTTGATGCTACAACGCTTCCCTGTTGAATCCAAAGGTCGCCGCAAGAAGCTACAAGAGGTACTCAGTCTTACAAGAGATTTTTTCCAATGTATATCTTAAGGGCACGTTCATCCCTCCCCTCCACTCCTTTTCTCCAACTTTCTATCTGATCTTTCTAATGCAGGTCGGCTACGTGACTACCATATGTTTTTCATGTTTTCTTATCAGATGTGTTATGGTTAGTCCCTTTTTTGTTCAAATGTGTAATTCTTGTTGCTTGGTTTTTAAAATGAGTTTGATCATATTTTAATCTGTCAGATGTGCTTTAATGCACTTGATAAAGCGGCTAACATTGATGTATTGGACCATCCCATTCTAAACCTTATATATTTCCTGGTGAGTTTGTTTATTACATTCCTTTAATTTTGTCCTACTGTTGCTCCTTGTTGAAAGCTGATATTCTTTGCCTGAATTTTTTCCAACACCACTAAATTATGTGTGTAGTTTTATCAATCTTCCTAAATTAATTTTGTCTGGGGCATGTGATTTGAAGCTGGTCTTGAATTCTTGGTAAGATTGTTTTCACAAGAAACCTAAGTGACAAGGGAAATTGTTAATCAAAGAATCAGGTCCTTGCTGTTTCAAATTTTTCCAATTCACACTGTTAAGGGGGTCTGTCTTTAGCAACATTCTGACCTCATGAGAATTTTTCTCATGGAAAATGGCTATTTCGATATCTAATTAACAAGAGATGGAATTGCTATTCTTAGTTTAATAATAACTGCAATTTCTCCTATGTTTTTACTCTCTATAAACATTTGGTCTCAAGCGTAAGCCATCAAAAATGATATTTGTTTTTCATGCCATACGTCCTGCTGACCTCTTCTCGCCCTTTTGCTACAGTTGGTGGAAATATTGCCTTCTTCGTTGGTCCTTTTCATTTTGAGGAAACTACCGCCTAAGCGAGGAATCACACAATATCACCCAATTCGTTAAAAAGGTTAGCATATGGCAAAAACTTAGTCACAAGGCATCATTAGCGGTTATCTGTTTCTTGGATGTTTCTGCACTTCAAAGGATAAGAGGACAGAGAAGTCAGTCTATTGTATGTGTGTGAGAAAGCTAATATCTTGGTTTTTAACTTCTCCCTTATAAGGTTTGTAGCTTATCTTATGAAACGTGACATTTGATGGATTGTCAAACGTGATGGGCTATGTTATGTATAATACAGTAAGATATATTTGCATGCGTCTCTGTGAAACTGGGAAACTGCTTTTCAGGTTCAGCAATTCAACACAATGAGCAAACTTTTTATAGGAGAATTGGACACTGATATCTTTGTAAAATAGTTTTGAAGTTTAATATCTATAACTGTTACAAGTCGGTGTAATGTACTGAGATTTTTAAGCCACGATCTTAATATTTCATTCAATTATTGTGTATCCCTACATCTTTTTTGTTCGACTAAAATTTTCCTTTTGACTTGAATTTTAGGGTAACAGCGTAATGAAAATTTCTTTAATGGAATGTTCACTTTTCTCTAGCCTTGTTTCTGGTTCTCCCTAGAGTTTTCAGTGTCTATGATTTCTAGTTAAGTTCCTTCCTCGTGATAAACCAGATTTGATTACTATGGCATGAACAAAATTAACTTACTAGAGAAAGTAGAAGCATTCAAAATTATTAACATGCTGTAACAAGAACCTAAAAAGATCAAAGGATTCATACCTGAGGCCTATTGGCAGGAATTTGTTGATGCCATTGATCAAAAGCCTGTTTCTTGTTTGACAGATCTAACTTGATGAAGGGCTTTGTTGTGAATTTGCTGCTTTATGATATCTTTCTTTGTTTCAACAATCAAATATTGGTCAGGGCAGTGTTTGAATGTTTGGTTTGACTTCGTTCAGTGAAAGAATGGTAGGTTAGAATCACTGTTAGTTACAAAAATAAAATATTAACAGCCTGTTTGATTTGATTTTATAAAATAGTTTTTTAGTTTTCAAATTTTGAAAATATTAAAAGGTTGTCTAATTTTACAAAAATTATTCTCCATTTAATGTTTTTAAAACTAAAAAATTAAAATAAAATTTAGAAGTTATGGTTATTAATTTTAAAAATTGTGAAAGAAAAATGATGTATTTTTTATTATGACAAATTTATAATATTGCCCATCCTTTTGATTAAATATTTTTGTAATAATATTACGTAACTTTAAAACAGTTTTTAAAATTAAGATTATCTACCACCTTTTTTTTAAAAAACTTTTTTTCTTTAAAATTATCTTTTAAAATTAATTTACAAATAAAATTTAAAAATTAGTAAAAATTAATTCAAACGATAGAAAATAAAAGAGAAAGATAAACAAATATTTTATTTTATTTTTTAAAGAAAATATAAGTCTTAGATACAACATCAGAAAACTTTATTTTGTTCGTGGATCAAAACATAAGTATGATAACATATTTTTTATTTATACTGATGCAATTATGTTTTTTTTTAATAATAAATTTAATCTATAAAGAAAATGAATTGAGAAACTACATATTATTGTCTTCAATAGAGTCCCATAGACTAGAAAAAAGATTACTACAGTAATTACAAATATGCCCTTGGTTGATGAAATAATTCCATATTATTTGTTTCTTATAAATTTTAATGTACTCTCTTTTTCCCTATATCTTTATATTTTGTTTAGAATCACATGTAAGTTTTTTTTTGTTTTGTTTATTTTTTATTTTTTATTTTAAAATTGCATGTTAAGTTTTATTGTATTTTTAACAATTTTGTATATAAAAATTAGGTTTGTGTTAGATTAAGATTCTAAATATTCTTGCTTTGATTAAATTTAAAAATTGTAATAATAGATTTCTCATTCAATTGAATAATTTCGATTTAAACATCTCGTATAAAGTAAATTAGATCAAATTAAACGTTGACTAACTTAGTCTCTTTAATATATTTTGTCTCTTCGTATGTATTACAATTAATTCAATAGTGTATACTTTGTATGAAAATTGCATTACATCGAGCGATTCTATGAAACTTTGATTTCAAAAAGAAAATATTAAATTAGTCTTTTTGAAAATAATCTAGAGCATTCGAGTCTATATTTTACCCATATAACATTTTGGCTGAAGGCTCTCTTCTAAATAATTCGGATATTCAACAAGAATGTGTGAAACTAAAATGTGATAGCCAAAGTGTTATTCACTTGACTAAGAATCGAGTCATTATACGAGATGCAATAAAGAAAGGTAATATTTCTCTAATGAAAGTGCATACTAACAAGAATAGACATGTTAACCAGGTCGAGCCAAGTAGCAAATTCTAACACTATTATTCCATGTTACAAGATTACATGAGAAAAAATCTACAATCGGTTACTATTAAAAGTGTAGTCCAAATTCACATTTATTTCAAGTTGTATTTAGATTAATTTGAATTTTTATTTATAGTTGTAATTGTTTAAATACTGAACTCAAATTTATTTTGTAGCAAAAATTTTCTTTTGTAACTCTTTTCATTCTTAAAGCAAAGTTAGTTACAATAGATGATCTCTCTTCCATCTTCTTCATCTTCAATCTTGTACTCTAACAATTGATATCTGGAGCTCCGATTCTGATTCAGGAACGAAAAATATGAGTGTACGTGAGGTGTGTATGATTGATTTCGAATATGAAATTCATAGTGAATTGAAGTTCAAAATTGAAACAGAATCACATTTCTTGATTCTGAGGGATTGAGAATCATGAGTGTTGGTGAGTTTTGAGTGAATTTGCATAAGAACAAATATGAATGGTGGAAACAGTAGCTTGAACACAATGAATGTGAGAAAAATATACAAGAAGGGGGTGAATTATGTATTTCCAAATATCGAAACTCTTTTTTTTAGTGTTTCTGAACCATCAGATTTTGAACCATGTTCAGAGTCTGATATCAGGATGAGTAACATCAGTGAAAAATTTACTTCTTTTTCTTAACTCTACTTCAGAACATGAGGTGTCAAGCTCAAATTTTGATGCAGGTAAGAGACTGAATCAAATCAAAGTCTGACTTCAGAGTATGATTGCACAACATAATATAAATGCAGAAGTAAATAAAAAGACACACAACTCAAGAGCTTTTAACTATAATCAGACTGATTACAATTGTTTAAGTCAACAACTCAAAACTTCCTGCTCAATCTCACAAAAATAGACTTCTGCTTAAACCCACGAGCATGAGATTTCCTTGCCTAAACTCCACGTCCAGGACTTCCTGCTCAATCACCCATATCTAGACTTTCTTACCTGAACTACTTGTTCAAGACTTCCTGCTCTTTTCGCAAGCATGCGACTTCACTGCTCAATCACACTGATTGAGACTTTCTTGCTCTGCCCGCAAGCATGAGACTTCGATGTCTAAACAACCAATTTAGGAATTTTTGCTAATTCTATTCAGAAAGAGACTTACTCTAAGCACAAAGGCTAGAGTCTTCATATTCTCATAATAGAGGAATATGGTATTAACCTTGTGTTTGTATGAGTGCTTATTGGATAAGCAGATACACAAAGGTTTACACTATTGAGCATATTTAAATTGTTTGCTCCTGAGTGTAGAAGAATGAAGTTTTCATTCTTCTTCTCTTTTTGCACAGATTTCCATCTGTTGTGCCTTTTTGTTCTTAATCATATACAACCATTCTTTCTTCAGAATATATTTGAATATCTCTCACTCTACTCTAACACACTTAACCTTTCATGTTATGTAATATTTTGAAGTGTGTTTCTATAATCTGTGTTTTATGTAAAACACAAATTCTTTCAAACCATTTCAGTGAATTGGTATCACATCCATGTGAACACAGTCATGAAATCTTCAACTTACATTCATTCTCTTGAGAGGTAGAGGTTCATGTCAAAGAGATTTTTCAAGAACTTCACAGGTTAAGAGCTTTTTTCCTAATGTTTTCAATCTTCTTCTTTAAATAGATGCTAAAAATAGATCCGCTGAAGATTGAGACTACCATGGTACAAATAGCCGTTTAAGGTCTTTAACTGATGGACAATAGAGTGAGATAAAACTGAGCTAGCATAAAGACGTTGATAGTAGTATAGCAGAGTTCTAAATAGTTAGAGAGAGAAAATCCTGACAGCCTTACTTTATGCTGATTAGACACAAAGTAGTGTACCGTTGTCACGTGATCTTCTTTGGATAACTTCTGACTGGAGTCTTCTTATAGACTTTTCTTGAAGTTTGCTCAAAGTCATTATTATCCTTATACTTCGCTTTCTATTAAGAGGCTTTTTATAGAATTAGTTAAAGAATGATCATAAGCTAAAGCATGTCTTCATAAACTGGTTGAATAAGACTTCAGAGTATTGAGTTCATAAGTTTTGAGTCTTGTCTTCATTAGAGTCTTGATCAAGACTAGTCTGGGTGATCACTTAAATAGTTGATGACTTGATGTAGACAAAATCCTTTGAAGTAGTATCTTCAAAATTGCTGATGAAGCTTTTTCAAAAGATGGAGAGTCGTTCCTTGTAACAGAGTATGCTTGCTTCAAATGGTTCCAGTCTTCAATGCTGAGATGATCTTTGAATTACAAGTAAGATTAGGTTCAACATCTGAAAGACTTGAAGTTGACTCTTCAGAGTCTGAAAGTTTGGTTCTGATCCTTCAGATTCAGAACAACGTTACTTCCCTTTAATGGTTCTTCTGAGTAATTAACTTGATTAATATCAAAGTTAATGTATTTTGATTCTTCACACTCGAATAACCATTAATAAACTCTATTGTTCTTTCAATACTTTATTATCATCAAAACCTTTTAAGAGAATGAACAAATCTTGTTCTAACTAACAAAGCTTCTAGTATTTGTTGGAAAGAATCAGAATCGATGAATGATTCAGATACGTATGTTGTTTGGCACTCAAGATGTTCTTGATCTCGTCAATGACGGTTACACGACAGTCGGAGTAGATGCAAATGAAGCATAAAGAAACACGCATAGAGAAATG